GGCATGCATTGCACAGCCTGTACCTGCTCGAGCAGAGGGCAGATTCTCTGTGATGTGGACTGCAAAATCATTTGTGAAGTATACTGACCCGTTGCCATCACCTTGAAAGTCTCAGCTCCAGGCTAAAAGCCATAGGTTTGAAGAAAGCTCAGCTGAGAGCTCCACACCTATTACTGCACTGGAATACTATTTTCCTTGCATAGATTTTCTGGACTCTGACTGAAATGTCAAGTGAAAAGTAAACACTGAGGAGGATCAAGCTTTTAAGGCACAAGTACACTTCAATGTATTTACTCGTTGAACTAGTGCAGGAGGCATGATGGACGATGATCTGCGGCTTTGGGAATAGGAAGTGATGCAAATGGGATTTTGCACCAATTCAACCCTGGACTGAATTTCACATGTAAGCGCAACACATCCATTTAAACGACTCCACATTTAAACAACGGCCCGTTTTCCGACACAGATGATTGAAAGCAAAGAAGTACTTAATGTACCTTGCTATCCTTCTGTCTCCCATCCCAGCCTATAGCCTCTATAAGAGACCCAGGGGTTGGCTCCAGTTAGTAGAGAGTCACTAAGCTGCAGGAACAACCGAATTCATGCCTGCTCCTCTCACTGCCTGCCTACGGCACCGAATAGGCAGCACCAAACCCACCGCTTTATTCCAGATGCAGAGTTGTCTTTGAGGATCCTTATTTTTTCTGTTCTTTGTGATTCTTTCCAGGTTGCCTGAAAATCACTTTGTTGATGTAAATGCTAAAATCCTACACTTCTTTTAAAGAGATCTGGCAATAATCTACCTAACTCGTTTTAGAGGGGAGTTCACAAGAACTTCAAACATGAGTAGAGGCCCTGTAATATTGTGTTTAGCCAAGTATATCTCTCTTCTTCAGCCTGTCCAAAATATCTAATGTGAATTAGGCAACTGGCCCTATTCTTAATTGATTTTCCTATAATCCTGGAAGAAATTATTTTCGTTCTCAAGTGGTGTTTTCTTTCTTCCAATAGCGAGTACCATGCAAATCTTTTAAAACTCCTTACGTTAACTGCTGTGGAAGTGTAACTGTTAATCTGTCCCCCAGATGTAATGTTTTCACTTAAATTTTTCAAAGCAGAGCCTGAAAGTGAAGTATGCAGCTTTCAGTTTGGAGCTTTCTGAAGGAGGCCACCACATTTCATTTTCCTCCAGCTTTCTGGAGAAGGAGGATTTGCAGGAAAACAGAGGATAGGGCCTCAAAAGGAGGCACAGAAGCTGGGAGCTTTCCCCTTCCTGGCTGATGAAGTCCCAGAGGAGATGTGCGCGTAAGCGATTCCAGATGAGTGTGCAAAGTGTCATCAAACAGAACCTGTGAAGTCGCAGGCTTTGCAAATATCAGATGATATTAGTTTTCTATGCAGAAATTAGTCTTTCAACACCCTGGCATTTTTCTAGAATAGACCTTAATAAAAACAGCCCAACTTACCTAGACCCCAAGGAGAATACTTAATCACATCAGTTTTAGGGCATTACCATTATGCCTTGATTCTTCTTTTGCAAATAGTAAGAATTCCCACGTATCTAAAAATTTCCCGTTGATCCCTGATCTGCTCCAGAATTAACCCGTCATCTGGTTTCGATTCTTCCGCTGCAGGATGCCCTGAGGGAAGCTTTGGCCTGAGCTGTAAGTACAGCTGTCAGTGCCAGAACGGAGCTGCCTGCGACCACGTGAGCGGAGCCTGTACTTGCACGGCGGGCTGGACAGGAACATTTTGTGGAAGAGGTACTGCTGCTCCCTCTGGTCCCTTTTGGGTTTATGTAGGTAGGGATTTTCTTTCCAGATCACCAGAGAGCAGGTTTTATTATTATTTACAGCAGCTGATCTAAATAAACCATTGAACTTAATTGGAAGATGATACTGAAATGTGTACTTCCATCCTAACTCAGCAAAGCATTTTGCTGTGGGCCTAGCATTGGGCACATGTTTTAATGTGGTTAAAATTAGATGTGTGCTGAAGACCCCTGCTATATCACATCTTTATGAAGACTCTTTGCAAGCAGAGTCTTACTTTTGTAACACTGAGCAGAAAGGTGTTTGTCCTGCCTTACACTTGCTTGTTCCTAGTGCATCTCTGAAACATTTTAGAGGAAAACCACGATCTGTGCATCTTCCCAAAGGAACTCTTTAAGAACAGATATACTTTTAACTTTAATAAATCCAACAGATCATTTTCTGTTATCTGATCATTTGGTAAAGTGTTGGAAAGGTTGGACTGGATTCCTTAGATTATTGTGAGTCAGTCTGGGGCATTGTCGAAGGAGGGTTGCTGTGATGCTGCATCATGGTGCAGATCATAAAAAATACAGTCTTGAATACAACAGAAACGGCACGTAGTCAGTCAGACATTATGAAAGTTATTTAAGCGTAAATGATTGAAGAATCTACAAATGATGATCATTAAACTGAAGTAACAATTATTTTGCTTAGAAAGCAGCTTTATCAACACGTTTCTGAAGGTAGTGTTACAGCTACGATAGAGGGAAGCGGCACCACTCGCAGGCAGCTACTGCCCTCTGATGGGAAGGGAGGTGCTCCACAGCCTTACCAGTAATGTAGCAAAGCACCCCACTGACTGGAGTTCAGATATTGCTTGTTGTTCCCTTCTCATTCTTACCAGGAATTATACAAAATAAATACTCTTTTCAAGGTTCTGCTGCAAAGTGTGCCTCATAATTTATAGTATCTCCACTATGTCCCTTTTTAAAATTATTTAGTTGAACTCTGTTTTTGTAAGTCTATCCTTTTTCAATTATTATTTTTTATTGGAAAAAGCAATGTAGTTATCTGTGTTGAGGTGTAAATCTGTTT